TCACAGGCTTGATCACAAAAAGTTGTGGTCTGAGCTCTCTTTTCTGTGCCCTTTACCTACAAATTTCAGCTGCTGCTGAAAGGTGCTTCTTTTTCACCCCACTCTTGCAAGCTGCATTTCCCTTGTCTCTTTCTAGCTGTTACTTAGTTCCCTTCACGTTGTTTTCCCCTGGCTTTTTCTTTGTTTCCTTCCTAGGAAGCAGCACATCATTATGGCTGCTCTTTCTCTAGAGCTCTCTGAGCCGAGGTCATTACTTAGCTGGGGAGATCCAGCGAGGTGGCTGTTTGTGTGGCTGTGAGACCTGTGAAAAAAGCAGCTAATCAATTCAGAAAATCATCTGGGTGGTAACCCCACTGTCAGCTTATTTTCTTCCCTTCCACTTAGACATCAAACTGGCTGAAGAGGACTCTGGGGAATGAGGCAGGCACTGAGAGCTCCTCCTCTGCAGACACATCTGTGTCTTTCATCAGCAGGGCTCAGGGAATACCACTAACTGGAGAGGGGGAAAAAAAATCTCTTTGGAGCTGAGAGGCTCGCTGTCTCCATCCTCTTGCTCTGAAGAGACCCTGCCCAACGGGGAAGCAGGCATTTGAAAAGTGGCTAATGCACTAACCCTGGCAGAAACTGTCACGTAACAGGCAGAGCTGGGGGAGGACAGGGACAAAACACACAGCAATGAGGGCCAGGGAGCAGACCTTGGTAGCCTGCAATGGCTAAGTGCAGCAGCAATTGCAACAGGACATGCAAATGGCCTTCTGGTGAATGAACTTGCTAATTGTTGCACTTTGCTTTCAGTCTTCCTCTAGTCTGTGTTTTTTGGGGTCTGTGTCAGAGCAGGGGGCACTCAGAGCCATAAAGCCTTTACTGTGGCCAGCTTTAGTCATGAGGAATAGAGACACACAGCTACTCTGGGGCTCTGGTGCCACTCAGGAAAGATAAGTCCTATCAGAAAGGCATTCTCTAGCCCTCTGAAGGGGGAGTGTGCATGTGCATGCATGTGTCAGACTCACAGAATGTGTTGGGAAGGACCTTTAAAGGTTGTTTAACTCCAGCTGCCCTGCAGTGAGAAAGGAGGCCTTCAGCTACATCATATTGCTCAGAGCCCAATCCAGCCTGACCTTTAATTTTTCCAGGGATGGGGAATCAACAATTTCTATGTGCAACCTGTTCCAGTGTTTCACCACCCTCACCATAAAAATTTTTATGTCTAGTCTTAATCTAGTTTTATCTAGTCTAAATCTAGTCTCTCTTAGTTTAAAACCAGTACTGCTTGTCCTATCACAACATACCCCCACTAAAAAATGTGTCCCATCTTTATCTTTCTTATAAAAACCTCTTTCAGTACTAAAAGGCCACAATAACTTCTCCCTAGAGCCTTCTCCTGGCTGAATAATCCCAATTCAGTCTTTCCTCAGAGGGGAGGAGTTCTGTCCTGCTGACCATCTTGCACAGCCCTCGGGGTGTGGGACTCATTCCACCAACTCTCACTGCCATCAGTAGCCCCATTCTGGGCCAAAACTTCCAGCCCAAGGCACCCATCAGCCACCCCCAGGCCCCCAAACATTTTTCCATTTCATGGGAGGGTGTTGGGGGCAGAGTGGGACATGGGGAGCCTCACATTCCATCCTGGGGGACCCCAGAGGGGCAGAGCCAGCACCCCCAAAGCCCTTAGCACCTGCCACAAGGACCAATCCTCCACTGTGCATCAACAAAGATTTTGTCCTCACATCCTAAGAAAGGTGGGAAGAATGGGGCTTTAGACTCCTTTGGACTGAAATGACTGAAATCATGTAGGCTGCTGTTCTGTTTTACTCACATGCAAGATGTCATTAAGCAAATATCTTTTCCATAAAGCAAGGAACACTCACACATAGCCAGGCTTTCCCTATTTTCCATGCTGTATTTATCTAGCAGGAATACTGAACCCTCTGCAAAGGTTTGCTGTAAGTTCAGAATGGGAGAACAGGCTGAATTTGAGGTTTCCTTCCTTCTGCAAGGTTAAGTCGCATCCTTAAGTCTCCTTTTAGAAAGCTGACAAACCATGTTAGAAGAAAGAGAAAAATCTTTAATGGAGAAGCCTTGCACTCAAGAGAACACACAAGGCTGACCCAGGCCACAGTTCAATTCTTGGGCTCATTTTCTGCAGTGACACAGACAACTGCACACCTTTTTTCCTGTTAGAAGCAAACTCTGATGCTCTTCACAGCCAGACAACTTTGCCAAAGGGCCTCAGAGATAAATGAAAGGCTTTAATGTTTGTGAAGAGTGAATTAGCGCAAACAAATTCCTTGAAACTGCTCTTTAAAAAAAAACCCCACCTCAAATAGAGGGAGAAAGCAGGAAGCTCAACTACCTTTAAAGACAATGCCTTCCTAACAGAGCAAGTTCTGTATAAAATCAAGATGTGTATTTGCTTCCTTTGGTGTCTCCAGCACTTTAAAAAAAAATAAAATAAAATAAAGCTTTTATCCTATTATATTTTAAGCCACAACTGACAGCAGAAAAACAAGTTCTTGCCTTATTTCCTCTATTTTACCAACATGAAATGTTCTGCCCATGGATTTGGCCAGCAGTCTGGAAAATGTCAAGGATAGGAAAGGCTGAGCTTCATTTGCTTTGCACAGATCTGAGTAATGAATTGTTCATTTTAAAGTGCTGTTCTAGCTTGAAAAGCGAGTCTGTAGTGCTGGCATCTTAAGGTTCCACATCTGTCTCTCAGTTGCTGTGGACTATGTTTGCTCAATTTATTAAACAAGGAGGTTTTTTCATGTTTTGCAACCCTGCAAACTAAACAGGAGGCCTGAGGCTTTAGAGGGGTTTTCCTCTTATGCACTTACCAACATGGCAGGTTTTGCTCACTTAGACTTCAGATCAATCTCCTCCTCTGGACTCCTAAAACTCCTTCCTGTTGCAAGAAGACTGGACAAACCCAAAGTGCAGGAAAAGTAAGAGCACCAAGAACTTATTTTTGACACTAGACAGAGTACTTATAATTCTGAATGCAAATAGGAAGCAGAATGCCGCAATAAAAACAAAAGCAGAGTCCCCAGACAGAGTTGAGTAAAAGTCATTGTGGTTGCAGCTTGATAAAACTCCATGAAGGAATGAGCAGCTCGAAAAGATTCACTGGGAGCTCATCTCTGTGTTTCATTGTGTGAAAACCAGAGATATTCAATTACATTAGAAATCATATGAGGGCAATTGGAGGCAATCCCTTTTCACACTGTGCACATTTACCTACGGAATGTGTTTCTGCCATGTGTGATGGAGCCCAGGGGTCTCAGCAGGATTCAGAAAAGAGTTCAGCAGGTCTCAAACATTCTTATAGGCAATATTAAAAGCTATAATTAAAGCAACAAAGGCTGCTAGTGATGTAAGCCCTGCTTGCCAACGCTGAATTCAACCTTTCCCAGCGGAGTGGGAAGTGTTTCATCAGTAGGGATGTTCTCCTGCTCGTACCTACTGAAGATTTTTGTGTCCCTGGCAAAAACAAAGATCTAGAGGAGAGCAAGAGTTAGTCTTGTCTAACACAAATCAGTTTTTCTATTTCTGTTTAAACTATTGAGCATCAAATATTCCCACAGTAATCCTGAGCAGTCCTAAGGGCAATGCAAGGTTGGAGGGGCAGCTCCAGGGTGGTGTCCACAGAGTCCTGACTCCCCTAAGGTGCAAAAAATCCTTAGCCTTAAACAAATGTCTTGGGGCAGCGAGTTCCACGGCTTAACTACTTGGGTGGGAAGCAGACAGGCAAACTTTCCCCTTATTCATTTCTCCCAGAGGTTGATTTCACTGGCTATGCTGCAGCAGTGGCATTTCCAAAGAGAAAGCTCCTAAATGTTTTCTCTCTAAGAGTGTTTTACCCATTTGAAGATTGCCTGCAGTGTGAAGGGCTGCCTCTGACAGGCTGCTGGCCCAGGGACACCATCCCTGGGGCCGGAATGGAGACCAAGGGTTCATCAGCACCCCAAAAAGGCCCAGCCTGGTGTTTGAGGGATTGTATGAGAATAACTGGAGCTACCCCACCATGTCCACACTCTTAGTGGTGTTCACACAAGCCATGGCCTGTGGTAAGTGCTGCCAAGTCCAGAAGGAGGAGAAGAAGAGCAGCTCTGGGCCATAGCAGGACCTCTGGGCAGGCACGAGGGCTGCGGCCTGAGCAAGCCAAACAACACGTGTGAGCCTGCCTCAGCCAGGTGTATTTTGTTTCCTTCCAAGGTTTCCACTCGTTTCCTGGCCACTGCACACAGCCTGAGTGGCTGGAGCCTTGCAGAAGGAGCCTAGCATCCCTGGGATTTGCAGGGGGATATATTGGAGGTGGGGAGCAGGTGGCACAGTGCTGAGCTGCTCAGCTGTCGCGTGGCTGGAGAGGGACGGACGCAGCTGGGTGAGAGAAGGGAAGAGCTCAAGGTCTGGCAGCCTTTCTGCTTTACAGGTCTGGAAGGAGCAGCAGAAAGCTGATCCAGCTGGGGTGCAGGGCCCCGTGAGGTTTTAATCCCAGGAGGGGTAGCACGAAGCACCCTGGAAAAGGAGTGGGATGTGTCTGTGACAGCCTCACCCTGCTTTGTGCCGGGCGAGTACCCTGGCAGCAGCCCCTGCTGCGTGCCAGCAGGGGCCTTGGCAGTGCTCTCTGGGGCATGGATTTATATCTGCTCATGCAAATAACCTGGAAGTGTCCCCCGGAGTGGGACAGCTGGTCCTCGGCAGCGCTTTTGGGAGCATTCTTTATGTGCCCATGTAAGTACCCTGGCAATCTCTTTTGGGGCTCGCCAGCAGGGGCCCTGGCAGAGACCAGGAGGCAGCGGCTCGCTGGCTGAAGCCATGCCAGCTGAAGCTTTCCAGCAGCAAAGCTTTCCTTTCTGCCCCCAAACAAAGGACCAATGTGGCCGGCGTTATTGATTTCTTTCCTGACTCGCCGCTTTCAGAGTGGCAGGAAAAGACCAAGAGGGGTTTTAATTTGTCCAAATGGTTTTAGACAAGGTTAATAAAACTCATCGATAAATGGCGCTTTTCATTAAGTTTTAATTGCGGTGTCATTTCAACAGGCTGGATGTGCATAGTCGTGGAGTTTGATTTTTTTCATTTAAAGTGCCTCCTCAGCAAAGTTGGTGGTGTTTGTTTTGTGGTTTTTTTTCTTCATTTAAGGTGAGTTTCCCTGAGTTCAGTGATTAATTTCCATTGTGGACTAAGGAGATGCCAGGCTGCTGGAAAGCCTGACTGCCTCAGTGAATTCCCTTTGGCCCCCATCCCATTCTGGGAATTACAGCTATTTAGGCTAAAATCTCTGAACCTTGCCCACTTCTGTACCTTGATCCATCATCATCTTGGTTCAGAAAGAGTGCTGGTGGCTGCTAGCCATCTCTCCCCCTCAGGGACTGCTGAGGATGGCATGAGATGTGTTTCATCTCTCCTGTTATCCCCCAGAAGTGGGTTTTGAACACCTGAAAGAGATGCAGACAGGATCTGGTTCAGGTCAACTCATAGCAGGGTGAATAAACAGAAAATACCAGAACAACTGGTCAATTAGAAGCTCGGTCTGGATGATAGTTCTCCCTCTCCAGAGTGAAAATATGAATACTGTTTAGCTTAAGAAGGTCTGTTTACACACATATTATCCCCGAGACACTATTCCCTCCTGTGCACTGCACTGATTTCTGTCTCCAGCTTGGTTTCAAAACTTTGTTAAAACAGTTATTTTTAAGCAGTTTACAATTTCACTAATTGGTCCCTTTCTTAACAGCAAATTTCCACTTTCTTTCCATGTAATCATTATAAGAGTGGAAAGCTTCACTGCTGCAGAAGGCTGAGGGCTGTCTGGGAGAGACCTTTTACCTTAAAATGCCCACTGCTGTTACCATCCTGTTTGAGGAGCTGTGGTGCTTCAGCCTGGGGATTGGCAGCAGATTATATTCATCCCTTGCATCTCCACGTGCCTTCAGAAGGCTCACAGAGCAGGGTAGCTAGTGTCAGGGTTCTGAGAGCATCCCCTGGGGGTTTGACTCCCTGGGTTCAGGCCTGACTTAGGTAATCACACAAGTGCCTGATGTTGAAGAAAGCTCTGCTAAAAAGCCCCAGTGAGGGCCTGATGTGCTGTTCACTAGCTGAGGCTCTTGCCCTTGCTCCCCAGCTGGGCTACCCTGCACCAGTAGCTGTGCCATGAACCCTGTTTGTGTGGACCTTGGCCTGTGGACTTCAGTCCCTGAGCTGACCTTGGATCTGTCTCGACACCGTGGACTCACCTGGCAGTCACTGGGCTGTGGCTGAACCTGGCTGCCAGATCTGCTCTGCTGTTCTTGCCTGGGAACTGTGCAGCTGCACCTCTGCCAGTTTGGCCACTGCCCCACGCCTGCCTTCTGCCACCCCAGCTCCGGGCTCACCTTCCCCCGTGGAGCCAGCCCTCGCAGGTGACACGTGGATTGATGCCAACCATCCCTGATGGTGCCTGTAATTTTGTCTGGGTTGTCACCAGTGGAGTGAAACTAGAGCAGGAAATGTCACCCTGTGTCTGCAGAGGGCATACTCATCAGGCAGGATAGAAAGGTAGAAGATCTCTGTCTGGGGTGGCAGCACAAGATGGAACCAGAAGGATGTGTTCTATCACCAGCTGTTAAAACCAGCTGGGGCACTGTTCTTTATCTCTCCCACCACCCATCCTCCCTCCAAGGGGAAATCTGCTGTTCATGGGCCATTGAATCCCACTGCAGGACTGATAAAATTCCATCATCCACTGGGAGATGCTCCACCCAGGGACAGGAACCAAGCATTCCTACCTGGATATAATCTGAGATTTGGAACAGCACAGCAGCCTTTCTGCACTGGATGCCAGAGGAAAACAGGAGCCATCTACAGCCCTGGAGCTTCAGAGGAGAACTGCAGCCTTCTCCAGGATCTGTGCTTCAGCAGAACCACATCTGTCACTGCAGGAGAGCTGCAGCCAGCATTTAATGGGACTGCTACCAACAGCCTGCCCAACAGGGTGTCAGGTTGTACCCTGACTCTGTCAGTGGTGGTTTCTTGTTGGTTTTCTTTTTTGTACTACTACATTTTTATTTTAATTTTCCTAGTAAAGAACTGTTATTCCCATTCCCATATCTTTGCCTGAGAGCCCCTTAATTTCAAGATTGCAATAATTCAGAGAGGGTGGGGTTTATATTTTTCCATTTTAAGGGACGTTCCTGCCTTCTTTAGCAGACACCTGTCTTTCAAACCAAGACACTCTCCCATGCTATAATTTGAAGCAGCAATGGGCAGCAGCATTCCTGCTCCCATGTGCCACATGCCAAAACTTTAATGTCTGCTGGAGGTGGGAGGGGTGTTCCACAAACTGGAGGAGGTTGTGGAAAGGGAATTTCAGGCAGGTGGTGATAAAGGCTCCCCAGCACACCAGTCTGGAGGAGGCTGGGGCTGGGTGTGGGTTGGGGTCCCAGGGTGAGCTGGAGGAGGTGGGCCCTGCAGCACACACACACAGAGCCACTCTGAGCTGACAATGAGGTTCAAGAGATGAGGCTTGCTCACCAACACTAACAGAAGGTGGACTTGAGCTCTTTGTTCATAGGGTGAGCTGAAGAGCAGCTGTATTCTTGTGGCTACCAAAAGATGTGGGCTGTTTGGGTCGAAGACCCCACAAGCCTCCTTAAAACCTCTATCTGTGCCTGAGTTTGTGAGTTCAGTGATCTCACTGCAGCTTGCTGCTGAAGGCCTTGTAAAAGTGGCACTGCCTGTGTGCTCTGTGCCTTTGTCACCCTGTGAGGGTGGGTGCCCTGAGGACTTGGCTGCTTGCTGTGGAGAGGCAGGCAGTGCTGTAGTGCTTTAGGGGAAGAGCATCTTTCGGGGAGATGCAGCAATTTAGCCAAAGGTAAGATTGTACCTATCTCTACCTGCAGGGTAAGGCTGGGAGCTACCAGGGGACAAGAGTGTGCTGGGCTGGGCTGAAATGCCTCTGAAGAACAGGATGAACAGGTCTAGGCATGCCAGAAATGCCCTGAGCTTTGTCTGTAATGATCACAAGTGGCTGGGCTCTGCTGTGCAGTGTGTACCCTGGGCAGGTGACTGCTGCTGGGATGAGCACCCTTCACCTTGCTTTAAACTCTGTTGCTCAGGTGTTGCCACAGCTGAGAGCAACACAAATCCCTGCAGAGCCTGAGGAGCTTGGGGGAATGAGGTTTTGCTGGCAGGGCTGCTAGTGCTGACTGGCTTGATGCCAGTGTCTGCATTTGCAGCGTGGTATATGGAGGTACCCCTAAAGAGAGCCGTGCAGAAGCTTTGTTTTGACATCTCAAGGCTTTAATAGAGTTTGGAGGTTTGCCTAGGCAGGATGAAGCTTGGCTACAACACAGGCACTTTAGGCCAGTCATGTTTTAACCCAAATGCTCCTCACTACTGTTAATTTTTTTAGCATAAATCCATTCTAAATGCTGACTTGCTGGTCTCATGCTCAGGGGGAAAAGAACCTGTACAGAGTGGAGTGACTCCTGAGCAGCTGAAGGTTGGGTGAATCTGTTGATGTGCTCCTCAGCCTTTGCTATCCTCTCTTCCAAAGCATTTCTGGCGCCTTAGAGAATAAGATAGAGCCATAGCTCTGGGAAGCAGTGTAGAATGTCTCTTCTGGTGAGACTTCCATGAGAGGCTGGGGTCAGAGAGAGAGACAAGTGGTGCAGTGTCACTGCAAGGCTTTTTTACTGATTGGGCTTGAAGTGTGTCTGTGTGATGGAGCCGTGTGGGTGATGTAGACACAGAGAAAGTGAGAGGCAGTGAGATGAGGAGATGGTTGACATGGAGACACAGGATGCCCTGGCAGAGGTCACAGGGATGCTCACAGCTGCAGGCTGACCAGGGATGAACTCAGATCCTCTGTGTCAAGCTGGGATGGACCCCAGGGGAAGAGGTGGGAGGATTAGGACAAAGATGTGGTTGTTTTTTGATTCTGTTTGGGGAAGTTAGGTGTAGCAGGCTGGGAGTGGGGAGGATGTTTATATGGAATATAGCTCCTAGGAACAGGAATTTTGCCTGCTTTAATGCTAGGGCAAATCCCTGCAAAACCACACTAACCCCTGTGAGTCAGCACAGCCTGGGGATGGATAGACACCACAGGTCAGGCAGGATACCTGACATGACTAATGCAAAAAGCAAGAAAACCCTTCCCATGGTAGCACTGGAGTTCTACCCTCCCTAAAGTCATCCCCCAGAGAGACAGTCAAGTACGCTTGCTAATCCAGGATGTTTTGCTTGCCTAGTTTGCTCTCATTTTTGTCCCTGTGGGTAGGAGAGGAAGAGAATAGAAGAATACAAACAATAAACTTGAGGCTCAGGGAATGTTTGCACAGAGGGCTTGGTGACAGCTTGGGACCTGCCCTGGATGGCACTGAGCCCCTTTCCCAAATACCCAAAGCTGTCAGCTCGTGCCCTGGGAGCCCTTGGCAGGCTGCTGTTCGTCCCCAAGGCAATGGGGTGTTAATACACATCGGCTCACTTGGTTTTTTTACTTCCCCTTCCCAGATCTCCAGGGTGGGGTGACAGCAGCAGGGAATTGGGGTGGGCACAGGTGGAGGGTTGGAAGGAAATGATGCAGTTTCACTTATTTATTTGCATGCTAAGTGTCTTGGGTGGCAATGCAAGATGGAACCAAAAGGATGTGTTCTATCACCAGCTGTTAAAACCAGCTGGGGCACTGTTCTTTATCTCTCCCACCACCCATCCTCCCTCCAAGGGGAAATCTGCTGTTCATGGGCCATTGAATCCCACTGCAGGACTGATAAAATTCCATCATCCATTGGGAGATGCTCCACCCAGGGACAGGAACCAAGCATTCCTACCTGGATATAATCTGAGATTTGGAACAGCACAGCAGCCTTTCTGCACTGGATGCCAGAGGAAAACAGGAGCCATCTACAGCCCTGGAGCTGCAGAGGAGAACTGCAGCCTTCTACAGGATCTGTGCTTCAGCAGAACCACATCTTTCACTGCAGGAGAGCTGCAGCCAGCATTTAATGGGACTGCTACCAACAGCCTGCCCAACAGGGTGTCAGGTTGAATTCTGACTCTATCAGTAATTTGTTTGTACTACCACATTTGTATTTTAACTTTCCTAGTAAAGAACTGTTATTCCCATATCTTTGCCTGAGAACCTCTCAATTTCAAGAATATAAAAACTCAGAGGGTGGGGTGTTTACATATTTTCCATTTCAAGGGAGGTTCCTGCTCTTCCTTAGCAGACTCCTCTCTTTTCAAACCAAGACACCAAGCTCCAGCCGAAGGGCAGTGACAGCCAGGTGTGTGTGCTGGCTGCTCTTGTTAGAAGACAAATGCTGATGGACTTGTTTGACTCCTGGAGCTCTGAGCCCTGCTATTGTGAGCAAGATTTGAACTTCTGCAGGTGTGCTGGGAATAGCCCAAAGCACCTTGTTTGGATTGCTGGTCAGAGGAATTCATGGCTGTTATATCTGGGAGCCAGGCAATGATTACAAATCAATGACTCCACTCCCAGAGTGATTCATCATTAACCTGGGGATTTTAGCCCTTTCCCTGGCTCTCTCCTGTTCCTGTGGCATCTCAAGTGTCTTATAAAGGGTAGTTATGGGTGTAGCTGAGGAGTGGAAGGACAGAGGCACTGGGATGTGGTCAGGCAGCTGAGGGGAGGGAGGGTTTTTGAAGGGGCATGGGGCACCTTGAGGGTGAGCAGAGCTTGGCTGTAGACTGGAGCAAGACCCAGGGAACACTAGCGTTCTCTCTGCTGCAGGGCTCCCACTGATGTCCCTGCTGGGCTGGGAAATGCTCCATGGTTTTGCCTGGCTAGGCACAAAGTGGGGTGGGAAGAGATAAAAATGCCAACCTGAGCCCAGCTGGACCAAAGCAGGGGTAATGTAATGATCCAGTGGGGAGCTTTCAATGATCCCAAACATCCCAGGACAGTCTGTTCTTAATAATAATTATAACACTTAGCACAGTTACATGTTCTTAGCATTTCAGAGGCATTAACCAGGGACTGGGACTGTGGTCTCACCCAGGCCCAGCAGAGAGGCAGGGACTGTCCTCCCTCACCTGTGCACCTGCCCACCTCTGGCTGTTTTCCTGCCCCTTGCTTGTCCCACCTCATGGTTTCCCTCTCCAAACTGGGCTGTGTCTCTTATGCAGACTTGTTTTACAGCAGCTGCTGGACCAGGGACCACAGCTATTGCACCAGCAAATACAGCAAATAATCATCACAGATAGGCAGGGAATTGGTTCCATTTCACAAATGAGGCAGCTGGCACGGAAAGAACAGCTAACTGGTGAGCTAGGAACACATTTCCCGGCTCCAGTCTTCTCTTCCTGGCCTTACAGTGATATTTCCAGAGAACAGCTTGGATTACAACCAGCTAAAGGGCATCCCCACCCTCTGTGCTCCCAGAAATCCTCCTCGGTTTGCATTTGGCTTACACAAAAATGGGCGGCCCACACAGAAAACCCAGCCAGGTCTGCATCACCCCTAGGTCTTGCCTCTGCTGGATTTATCACTGTAGCTCTTGCAATCACCTCCACACGCTGCCAGGCCTTCAGCTGGGGCTGGGAGCTGCAGCGGCACACTGCGAGCTGACCCTCCCCAGCAGCAGGACGGTCTCTGAAAGATGAAGTGAGAAACAAACATCTGCAAGGCTGTGGCTGCCCCCTCCGTGGTCCTTCCCCCTTGCTGCACCCCTGTGCAAGAACAGGGTGGTGGGAGCTGGCACAGCTGTGGCCACAGCAGGGGAGGTGCAGCAGGGAGAGGTGGGGAGACCTTCTGGGAGCGGTACCTGTCGCTTTCAAGAAGCTCGAAAGGTTGGAGGGGAAGCGGTTCACATGTGGAACTGAAACTGGAGCAGGGGGAACTCGCTGCGAGCACTCAGAGCTGGCCACCAGCTATTTAAAGCTTCAGATGCATCTGAGGTGCAGCTGGGCATAAAGAAGGGGCACGCTGGCAGCTTGCACACCCAGGACAGGGGGCTTTGGAACACTGCTGGGCACAGCTGCAGCAGCTGAGAGGTCAGCAGGGGCTAGGAAGCACCCCAGAAACCAAGGAAAAGCTGAGCTGTTGGATGAAGGAGCCCTGCTGCTCCTATCAGCCTTGGCTAAACAGCTCGTGGGACCAGAGCCAGGGAGCTCAAGATTATTCCAGGGGCCACACAAGACTGGACAGGAACTGCAATCATGCTCCTGTGGACAGACACAGGTCTCCAAATGGGCTACTTGGTTCTCAAGAAGAATTCAAACAAGCTGAGAGATGTGTTGGTGTGGAAATGACAGCTATAACATTCCTTGTTAGTCCTTGAGACAGGACAAGTCTTCCTATACCATGCCTCTGTTCCCAGGGAAGTCTCAAGGCAGGGTTTCGGCTGTCTGCAGGCACTGGATGAACCCAATCCTCCCCCAGATGGGGCTCCTGGTTGTCCTCTTCTCCCTCTTTCCACTTTTCATGTCCAGACAGATCCCACCTAAAAGTAGCTGTGGTCCTATTTCACCAGGATTTTTTTTATTTCCAGAGGATGCACCACGTTTTAACTGAGAGAAAAGCATCTCAAACACCTGCTTATTTCCTAGTCCAACCCTTGCAACATCCATCCAAAAGTCTCCTGGCAACATCTGCAATTTTTTTTATGCGGAAAAGTCCCATCAAAGAAGTGTTTGAGCACTGGACTTTGCTTTTTGTTTTTCAAATGGGATTTGAAAGGATGAACCACTACAAATCTCTGAGGCCCTCTGGAAGGCATTTCCAAGACCCCTGCCTGGCTGTAAGCTATTTGAGATCCCTCACACAGCATTTTAACCCTCCACAGTGGGAACCTGTCTCTAGCACCCCACTGCTCGCTACAGAGTCGGTTTTCCAACTGCCTGGGCTGAATTTGGTTTTATGGAACTAATGCTAGGCTTTAGTGCTACAAGAAGATTAAAGCAATTCCCTTCCTTCACTGATATTGTTCCCTTGAAGGTATTTGGAGGCAGAACTCTTGTCCCTACTGAACCATCCCTTTTCACTCCATGCACTTCCCTCCTCACACCTCCCAGCCTCGAGTTGCTTTCATCAACCAATAGTTGCTGCTGAGCAACTATTTGGGTCATCTTTCCACTCCACTGCTCTCCCTTTTTGGGAGCAGGATCATCTAGAGACTCAAGGAATATTCATCCTGCCAAGGAGCAGGCAAGGGGGCACAGCCACCCTCTGGACACGCTGCCATGGCCAGGGCTTGGGGAATATTTGGGATCCCTGAACGATCCCTGCACGGATGCTGGGACTGATCTCAGTGACAGCACAGAGTGAAGGCACCAGGAAAGAAGGAAAAGCTGGCAGGTGTCCAGCTGGGACAGTCAGTGGGCAGCCTGAACACCCTGCTTTCAGTCCCAGCTAATGAAATTTAACATATTACTGACCAGACTCTGCTGTCTCTGCCTCAAAAAACAATCTTTGTGAGTGCTGTGGGTTGTTTTCAACAGTTCTTAACTTACAAGATCTTTTTTTAATATTTAAAATGATTAAATTTTTGGACTAAATGAAACCAAACGGACTTTGTTCTCCCCTGGAAGCTGTTTACATAACATCTGTTTTAAGTAGTTTAAAACTCAGTCCGTTGAACTGAGTGAAATAAAATGCTGAAATTACTGTATTTGTTGTGATTTTCTTTTTTCTTTTTTTTTTTTTTTAAATAACTCCGTACCTGCTTCCACCTGACCTGCTTCCCAGGCTCGATTTTATCCCTGCGATACCTCAGGGATGGATTGATGCCACGGAGCTGAAGGCAAGACCATTTCAAGGTACAAATCGCTGTTTTCTCCGCTGTGAATGCATTAGCGAGCAGAGTTTGCGGTGTCGCTGGCATTAAACCCGCTCCAGATTAGATATTCAAGTTTGTGTGTATTCCCGATGCCAGAGTTCCCCCGCAGCAGCAAGGATTGCCAGAGCTCTTCTCCCAGGATATTTAAAGAGCTGCCCGAGTGTGCCAGGGGACAGAGGAGCCCCCGCTGCCGGGCAGTGATGGGTTAAAGAGCCATGAGGCTCCTCTGAACCACCCCGCTTTTTTTGGCAGCCCGCTTTCTCACAACCTCCCCTTCCTCCTCCTCCTCCTTATATATTCATGAAGCAGCGCGGCCGGGGTGAAATAGAAGAGGAAGAGGAACTCTGTGTTCCCGGCTCTTCCCCTTTATCCAGCGCTGCCCCGCAGGAGACGGACTCGCCCCCCGCTGCATCAGCTCTGGGGGCCGGGAGGAGCAGAGTTAACAGTAAGTGAGTCGGTCCCAGCGCTCCTCTTTGGGATGTTTCCTTTTCTGAGCTCAGAGCCAGGCCTGGGATGGGGCTGCACCCCACCCCTGCTCCGTTTGCTCCCCTGGTACCCGCTAAAGGGGCTGGGGATGTGCTCCTGGACCCGCAGGTGGAGGAGAGCTGGAAGCAGAAGATACGTGCACAAGTGATTCACATAGGCTTATTTTGAGATATTGAGCCCTTCTGCAGCCTGTTTTGCTCTGGAGAGATTGGCATGCAGGGTCACTAAAGCCTGGTGTTGAAGGATTATATTGCAGTTGTGCTTTTTGGGGAGAGGGAGAGATCTCAGAGGTCACATGTGCTTGTCTCCTGTGATCTCTTACTGCTGCCTTGGTCTCACTTCCATCCCCTTTCTTCTGGGATTGTGAGGGAAGGACACACCTCTGCTTCTGCAGAGGAAGCCTTGGGGTTTCCTGCTCATAAATGAGTCCTTTGGATAGCTGGAATATACTAGAAAGGTGTAACAGGATCTTCTCTCAGCTGGAGGGAACCAGGATTTGATTAGCTCAAGCCAAGCCCCTTACCTGGACATCATCAGCACCCCTCGCTCAATGAGGCCTCCATCCCAGCTTGCAAGCAGCATCCTGATCCCACCAATCCCCCATTCCAGGGCTGGAGCTTTGCCTTACTGAATGATGTGCTGCCAGTCTGATCCAAGCAGCAATATCTCTTTGCCCTACCCAGCCTTGTCGTGTGTAATCAGCAGCCACCAGGAACGTGCTGATCCATCAGGGGGCATTGGGAGAGGTGCATTAACCCAGGGCTTCTGCAGGATGGGCCAACAGCTTCATATCCCATTGCCCACCTTCTGACCTCTGCTAATGCTTCAGTCTTTTCTCCCCATCAAGGTGCAGCTGTAAGATGAAACCTCCATCTGGGCAAGACATAAGGCTGGCATACCTTCTCCTGAGTCTGGCTCCCCTCTGCCTCCCCAGCCCTCTCTGGAAGGACCGCGATTCCCTGATGCAGGAGGAGAAAGCCCAAAGGACAGGTGGCAACTTGGTGCTGAGTAGGCAGGAGCAGCAGCTCAGCACAAAGCTCGTCAGCCTCAAGAAGAAGGAAGTGGAAGCAGCCATGAGTACAGGACAGTTTCCTCCAAGCATGCACTTCTTCCGGGCAAAGAGCCTCATTGATCAGAGCGCGGTGTTCAGCATCTTAAAGCGCATGCCAAAAGGTAGGCTTGGCTTAAGGAGGCTCATCTCACTCCTCCTTTCTCATCTTTTGCTTTCTGAGCTGGGACAAAACGCAGGATGTGGGAGACAAGCTTTTGAGAGCTGTGAATTGTGTTCATTGGGTTCCAGGAAAAGCCCTGACACCGAGCTCAGAGATGGGGTAGGAGCAGAGAGGAAGAGGGGGATGGATTGGATGAATACACATTTCCAGCAATTGTGGCATCGGGTTTAACTTAACAATGTGGATCCTTAAGTCTTTCAAGAGTGGAGAAGGGGCAGAGGAAGCAAAGACAACAAGAAATAACAGACATCCCCATTTACTCAGCATCTTCCAGCCTCTTTTTTTTCCCCCACATGCACATTCCACAAACAGGGTACCAACCTTGTCTTGTTATGAATCTTAACCAAAAGCATTGCATCCCCCAAAAGGTGTTTCTGCAGGTGGTTCTGTAGCAGGCCTGGAAGTCTGATGGAAAGTCTGGGGGCACTAGAGGAGGAAGGGGCTACCTCTAATATTGCAGTCTTCATTTTCCTTGCTTGTTGTGTACAAATCAAACCCTGTGTACTTCCAGCACTCAAAGTGAGCTTATAAAAGGGAGAGAGAGAGCAACATTTTACGTGGGCAGGTAGTGACAGGACCAGGGGGAGCAGTACTGAATTAGAGTAGATATAAGTAAAAGTCTTTATCAGAGGGTAGTGAGGCACAGGAACAGATTGCCCAGAAAAGTTGTGGCTGGCCCATCCCTGGAAGTGTTCATGGCCAGATTGAAGGTGGCCCTGAGCAATGTTCCCAGCTTCTGCCTCCCAGTCTTGCAGCACCCTAATCCATTACCATAAACAATTAGTATGTCAGAAATGTAATTATCCTTTCAGGGCTGAATTGAACAGTTAGGACTTTAAAAGTACTCCCCTCTTCACCTCCGGTATCATTGATACTCCCACCAAGTGGGAGTCAAAACGAATAATTAACACTTTTCACTCCAGGTGATGTTTAAATGGGTTCTTGGAATCTTTGCAAGGGCTGTAAGCTTTTAGGGCCTCAATCACATCCTTGTAGCTGTTTGAAGAGGACTTGATCAGAGCCCCTGGGAGTTCCTGTTGTTTCAAGCACTGTTGTAATGTCTGTGGCTGCTCACACAGGGAAGAAGGTGACATTGCCAGCCAGAGGAGGGTCATACAGCTGCAGCATGCCCAGCCTGGTGCACAAACTCTGCTGAGAGCAGCAATCACAGCTCCTCAGCATCTTTACAGCCAGACCCTCTCTAGTGGGGGATCATAGGCATTAGAGTCTATATTAGATTAGTCCACTATAAATTATAGTCTGGAACTTAATCTAATGTCAAGTACATACCAGTCTTGTGTCTTGTTCTTGCTATTCATGTTCTCTCTTTACCCCTAAGGGCATCAAAGCTATTTGCACTAAGAGGTCTCCCCTAGACTAATAAAGTACATATCTAAGACTCCAGCTCTCACAGTGTCTTCCCTTTACAAAGGTGAGGCTTAGTTCAAGCACCAATAACACCAGGAGTCATTGGAAAAGGAAAGATTTCAGCAAAATGAAACGATAAGGAAGGTGAGCAGACAGAGGATGCTTCCTGTGCCAGGAGGACTGGCAGTTGCCAACATACTGCACAATAACAGAGTGCCCCAGAGGCCCTTGTGCTGGCCAGCAGCAGATGTACAATGTAAGCCAGCGTGCTTTTGATAAGGCACAGAAGTAAATTGTACTTCTGCATCTGAGTGCAATTCCCCAGAGTAACGTGGCCTGGGATTTTGGTGTGTGTCAGAGTTCCAGAGAGCTGAAAAAAGAGACATGGACTAGACACAAAAAACAGCTTAGATGCAGAGCTTTGCTTCAGGTGTGCTTCAGCCAGCGTGCCTTGTAAACTGCTGCCTCCTGTGCGAATTTCTCTTTAAAAAAAATCAGTGGTGCCTGAGCCAGCTCACAGCAAAGTCTGTCTGAAAGACCTTTAATAACTCGGAGCATTTTCCATCCCAGTGGAGAAGCAGAGCTCCCTATTGATTTCCCCCCTCCCTGTGCTCCCAGGGAGCTGTCACGCTCTGCCTGCCCGGTGTTTGATGTGGAGGGGGCCACATCCTCCAGCCTGGGGGAGGCAGAGCAGCCACTCAGCCCTTGCTGGGAGAACTCACTCCCATCCTTCTAGAAGCATTTCCAGACATCCTTGGTCAGGCAAACAAACCATTATCACATTAAACCTTCTCCCCAGCTGCTTGGGCTCATCGGGATGTCCTTGTCCCTCACCCCACCAGGTGCTGTGCTCCACCTGCACGACTTGGCCATGCTGAGCGTGGGCTGGCTGGTGTACAATGCCTCCTACCTGCCTGACTGCTACATCTGCTTCACCAGCACGGGCTCCGTCCGATTCCGCTTCTCCCGGCCGCGCCCTCCGCACCCGCTGCCGGCCCAGTGCTCCCAGTGGCTTCTGCTGGGCTCCTACCGGGAGCAGCTCAGCGACGTGGCCGAGTTTGACAGAGGGTGAGTGAAGAGGGCTGGCTGGCCTGTTGGTGTCAGGAATGTCCTGCTTCCATCGTGCAGCCAGCAGAAGCGTTCTGGTCCAGTTTTCCTGTTGGTTTTCTTGCTCTAAACGCCGTTTAGGGCGGTGCATGTGAAAAAGTAACGGTGATCTAAGAGCTTGGAGGCTGCTGCATGAAGTATGCCAGAGTCAGGGGCCATAAAAACTGAATTTTTCTGTGCACACTCACTCTGGCCCTCTGTGCAGACATGCTGAGGACAGTAGATTTGTGAGACCTGTCCCCAGGCTGAATGGGCTCTCAGTATGGGATAGGGCTGTGTGGTGCCTCATCCAGTGAGGTACCCAAAAACTGGATGAGGAAGCCAGGTAGCTGCTGAACAGGCTCTACCCAACAGCAGAAAAGCCCTTTGCAAAGCCATTGATTTGATTCAGAGCAAGAAGTTGGGGCAACTATTTATGTCAATTACTGCACTAGCAAAAACTCTCAAACTTCCCAAAATGAAACCCAACCCAACTCTCCCTCCAAACACCAAACTTGTTTTCTGAGGCCTGCCTCTGAAACCCCATTGGCACCAACCACCTGGAAGCATGAGGCACTCCCAACCAGGAGTTGTGGCTCACCCTCCTGGCCAGTGGCTGATCCAAGGACCCCTGACTGGTTTGGGGTCTCCTTCCCCTCAAACATCCTCCTGCTAACAGAGCTTCTGCCCTTCCAGGCAAGGCTCCTGCAGCTGTCTGGGTGCTCACACCTCAGCTGAGTCCTCAGGGCATCACTCACCCTCCTGCAGGAGCTTCCCTCCTTGCCTTTAGTGCTGGCAGCCTTTTATCAGGACCACCTGGCATTTATTCACTTACAGGTGGCTGGGAAGAGCCTGGCTCCCCCTCCAGCCAGTGGTGATGAGAAGCCAGACTCCTATCTCCCCATCCAGGGGCCATTGATCCTGGGACAAAGCCCTGCTGAGGAGGCCAAGAGGAAGCATGCAGATCTGCTGTGGTGTGTGGGGGGCTGGAGAGAGCACGCTAAATAATGCATGAAGTCAGACACTGAGCGATGAGGACAAAGGAAAATATTGAGTAGCCATCCATTCAGAGGGCTGTCCGTGGCGCTCCGGGGGCTGGGGTCTGCAGGGAAAACAAGAGTGTGGGGTGTCATGTAATGACAGACACTATTGCCATGCCAACACACAAGGAGAGGGCTGGATTAAGGCACTGCAGGTGACCCTAATCCCAGCATTTTCCAAGTGAAACTTGGTGGGTTTTACTGCAGTGCTCTTCAGTGAGGTTGTGTGCTCTTAAGCAGAGACTTTTTAACTCTCGGTGAGCTGGTATCCCCTCCATGTAGAAGCTGTCTGGGCTCTGTGCCCTGCAGATTAGGGTAGGCTGGGAAGCTGAGGAACTTTGTGGCTTGGTATTGCCTTCCCTCCCCAAAAACTGCAGTGGGCAGGGCAGAGGGGTCTGAATCTCCAGGGCTCCACCACTCCTCTCTTGTGGAGGTCCAGAAGGGAAGGAGAAAGTGATGCCAGACCCTGAGTTCTTGACCTTTTGTATCCTGAGGCTCAACTGCCCTGACACGTGATGGACGAAATAAGATCCAGTGAGAAGTCACTTATCTCTGTCTTCCAGAGAGAAAACTGGTTCCTCATTAGCTCCCTTCCATTTCTGCTGGGAGTGATGAGGAAGGAAAGATGACAGCACCAGCTCTCTTCAGCCATACCAGGAGACCCATAAATAACGTGCAAGGGGTTGGATTTTGAAACAGCTTCGCTTCCTTAAAGCTCAAGTAATTGCACTGGGCATTTAGAAGTGTCTCAGGAGCAACCCTTCATTGCACTTGTTTTCAGTTGTGTTTCCATGGCATGATGCCACTTTCTGGCAGAGGCTTAAAGGGCAGGGCATCCTGTACACCCTGTCCTGGGTGACTGGGGCTGTGCATTGTGTGGTTCCCTCTGTTCCTGCGTGGAAACCCTTGTTTTCAGAGGCAGTATTGCCACCTTTCTCTTCTTTTGTGTTTGTCTCACAGTGTGTAGTAGCCACGAGTCAGAGCAGGACTTCAGAGTGGCAGGCACTGCACAGGGGCACAAGACAGAGCCTCGCTGCAAGGCTCTCCCCAAATGTGGAGGGGAAACCGAGGCAGAGGCCAATGAAGCGATTTTCCTCAACAAACATATGCCTGAGCCAAGAACAAAGTTGGATCTCTCGCAGCCTGGGTGCTGACTTACCCATTTGAGTGTGTTGTCCTTCATTTCTTGCCCTTCCGTGCTCATCACCACAAAATCACAGAGGAGTCATTACGCATAATGTGCAAACACACCAACAACAGCCACACTGAGGCACTTCCCCTCCTATTTCCATCTAATCCCCGGGCACTAGTCTAGGGGTTAGGAATGTTTTTGGCCGTCTGGAAATAGGTCTCTAGCCAGGAATAGGCCCCAATCTGTTCTGCCTCTCAGTTTCTGGAAACTCTCCCAGTCTCTTGAACATGTGCATCCCAGGCTACCTCTCTCCTGCACTCCTCTTTGCCCTTGAGCACTGACAAGCTGAGAGAAAGCAGATGTCAGAGGAAAGAACGGATGGATAGTTGGGTGGTTTCAAGGAAGTGTCAAGGGAATATGGCAGCAGGGAAGGGCTCTCATGCAAGACAGGGTGGATCAGCAAATGTGAAGGAACAATGGAAATGTTTCTGAGAAGCTGCACCTCTTTCTCCTTACAGCATTTCTGACCAGGAGAGGGTGGAAGAAAGGGGAATGTGCATGATTTTTGCCGTTTGCATTTTTAGGTACATATACACATGTATTTGCTTTGGAAGGGACTCCTTTTGTTGTTTCCCTCAAGAGAAGGTCTAATCATTCCTATTCAAAACAAACATCTCGTGGGCCAAGACCCTGGAGTATTGTGTTAGTGGTAAGCTTCCAAAAGGATGCTGTCAGGAGAGCCAGGAGACCACAGGCCAAGGGACAGCAAAAGGAATTTTGCTTTCATATTTAAAAAGGACAAAACCAATCCTCACTCATTTTCTTCACAATCAATTACGATACAGGAGAATGTCATTGGCTGCCATCTCCAAAGCAAGAGCATGCCCCCAGATATTTCAGGAAGCAGCATTGACATGCCAGGTATTTGTAAAATACCACTGCACACCCCCCTCCAGCAGCCCAAGGATTGAGGCCGTGCCCAGCAGAGCTCTCCATCACCAGGATGAAGTCATCTGTGAGGGAGCTGACACCACAGCCCAGGCTTCAGGGACAACTCCCCTGGGCGCTGGCTGGGGCTGCCATCACCTTCCCCTGCGTGTCCTCTGCCTGCCTTATCTCACAGAAAAATAGGGCAGTGTGTGTGGTATGGGGGGGGGAAAAAGGAATAAAAATCCACTACAGAAACAAAGCACTCTGCTCCCTCTACAAGTCTCCCCTTGGGGAGAAGAAGAGGGGATGAGAGAGAGCGAGAGAAAGCGGATGAACCACATGTGACAGATGTTAGTCACACTGTTTAATGCACCACTGGAAGACATTTAGATACTACGGTGAGGAGAGGGGCATAATTACCCACCGAGAACAGAAAAAAAGAGCAGGAAAAAGAATCCCTTTAAAAACAAGGCAACAAAACCTTTCACTCCCATATTATATACAGCACAGGAAAGGAGAACGGGGAAAAATCCCAGGGAAAGAGAAAGCAAACCCAGAGTTGAAAATAAATAATCCTTGGCTGGTCATTTTAGCTGTGCCCCTTTGGGCATATGCATTGCAATAGCATTGTGCAGTGCATATATGACATGACATGGAGGGCTATTTGTAGTCTGCACCTGATCACTGGTGAAGGCCCATTCCAGAAAAGAAGCAAAAAATAAAAAAAACCAAAGAAAAAGAAAGTATTTGTGAAGCTTTGCTTCATCTGCATGAGCTACCGATGGCAAAAGCCCCCGAACCCTTAGGAGATTATCTGGTTATCAAGGATGGATCACTATTATGCAATAAATCTTCAACAGTTGTAAGGATCAATAATCAGTCTCAAAGGGAAGGGGATTATAAAGAGAAGTACAATTTGATTTATGTGCTTTTAGGAACAGGGTGGTGTGGGGATTTATTGCTGTTTCCAGCCCAAGAGCACAGGCTAAGCAAACAGCCACGAGTTTGTAGAGCGAGATTTAAAGGCAGGGAGCGGAGCCCTGTGTGCACTCAGTGCTGGAGGAGCCGAGTTCTCACAGGACAAGGGGAGAAAGTGCTGGGAGCTCCACTGAGCACCCATCCTTATCTGAAAGGGAGCTGCCTGGAGCGGCAAGAATGGGCTTGCACGGCCTTTTGATCCACGGGGAGGTTTTTCCCGGAGCGCTGGGAGCAGCCCCGCTGGGCTCCCGGCTCCGGGCAGGTGCCGAGCTGGAGGGGAGCTGCCCTTCGGCCACGAGGGAAGGGGAAAAAAAAAATAAAAATCTCTTTTCCCCCAGCTCTTCCCACACGAAACCTTCCTGATGAGCAGCAGCACACCCTTTTTGCTCTCCGCAGCTCGGGCAGCTGGAGCAGCGCCTTCGGGATGCTCCTGACTCCTGCATTCCGGGTTTCTAGGGAGATGCTGCGGTGTCTCCCGCTGCTGAGCGCTCCTCGCTGCCCCTTCTGTGGTCCAGCTCGGTCCTCTCTGCTTGCTTGGATTACTGAACAGTAGCCGGGGTTGCCCGGTGTCCTGGGATAATGGCACCAAAGCCCCTATTGTAATGCATGGGAGGGCAGAGCCCGAGTTGCTGTGGAAACCTTATCTCTGGATTTTCCTGACTGTTGAGCATTTAAAGTCTCATCCTTAACAGTAGTAGCATCTCTTTTACGTACAGGTTTGCTTCTAAAATTGTTCCTGGCAAAGAAGTTAACAGGGTGTGAGGAAGAAATGAAACCACAGCCCCTGGAAGAGAATCCTTAGAGAGTGAAGCAGCAGGCAAATCCTGGGGGAACGGGCTCTGTTTTATGGGCAGGATGGAGGGATTCAAAAGGCATATCTGCCCAGGATGTCTTCGTTTATGAATTTGGACCTGATCACATTTTACATCTGTAGGGAGGCTGTGTGGGTTTAATTCCACCCACAGAAGTGTCCTGGATGAAGATGATAAGATCACAAATCAAAGTCACACTTCCCATATAACAGAGCAGAGTACTCCACGAGGATGGGGGCCAAGACATCAAACAGGAAACATTATTAAAGATCAGTAGCTGTTACTGAGGGGAAACAATATACTCAGATGAAAGCATGGCTGAAGGTATTTCTTTCTGAACCTGCTTAGCCCCCAACACGAGATAAGCACTAGGTCAGCAAGAAAACATCTGAAGGTTTCTGTGATGGCTTCCATTTGTCCACCCAGGAATGAAGTTAATCACCCCTGCACTGCCATTTAGGCTTTGCCCACTGGTGGAATAAATATATTATGAACTACTCTTCAGGTGGGAGAAGGAGGGCTGGTGCCAGAGGCAGGACTCCAGGTGGGATGAAGGCTATCAGCTTGCCAGAGGATGGTGGTGTGGCACAGATACCCACCCTGTCCTAAATACAAGCTGTCACCCACAATTAGATTATCTTGCAATTTACTGGCTCCCTTAAACTCTGCTCTATAAAACTACCCACTGTCTCTCTGGATTTCTGAAAGAGGCTTATATGCCAGCTGAGTGTATGGAGGAAATACATTTCCATCACACTAAGGAAAAGCCAGGACTGAGATTCTTATCAGCTGTTTCCCTGAAGTAGCTATCAGCAAGACAGGCAGGGCATCGGGTTTGTTCTCACTGGTGGAGAAAAATGATTTCTGATTCACAATTGTCTTCCCCTTGCATTTTTTTAGATGGCATATTTTGACAATACAAAGGTACCAGGACAACTCAGGGGCTCAGCAAGCAGGTTGGTGGTGGCCCAGTACATGGCATCTCCTGTAAACCAAGTCTGCCTTTTAGGTGCTGAACAGAGGGCCAGATGTTGTGACATTTATGTGCATTGAAGGTGCTTGGGAAAACATATTGTCTGCAGGAGTGATGTGCATGCCTGCTTTCAGACTGGGGATTCCCTGGGTGGCAGAGTATAACTGATACTTTTATATCCATAAAAACCATACTTGCTTTTCTAACTCTGTTCCTTGCAAAAGGGAGGGACAGGTTTTAAGCACCTACTCCTACCCTGCTTACAGCTCAACATGTGTCATAGGAGTTCTGTGCCAGCCATTAGAGGAGTAAATACAGGTGGCAGAAAAATGACCTGAATGCTTCTTAGTGGCACCAGTCACTGTTATGCCTGTTGTACTGCAGGCTCTGTTTGTTTTCCTCATTCCTTCTCTTCTCCCTTTTCTATAGCTTGCTGAGAAACCTGACCCTGGTGACAGATGCCCCTGAGCTGGCCTACCCCTCTCAGGCTTTCATTTGGAAAAGATTTGAAGAAATCTTTCTCATTGCCTCTGGACTTATCTGCTATGCACCTGTGTTCAAGGCCTATTTCTACCAGGGGCTGCTGGAGCTCTATGAAGATAACATACAGTATGTTGAGATAAGAGCTATCCTGCCTGCGGTACGTGGGGTTTGGTTTCTCTAATAGTCTTTTAAATCCCTATTTCTCCATAACTTTTCTCAAGCCCTATCTTGAATTTAGTTTTTGGATGTTTGCATACCTGCCCTTCTGAGGATGCTGGGAAACCTTGATCATATTCAAACGTCTTTCTTGGAGATTTGCCTAGGTAAAGGATTCAAAGTGAGAGATTCTTTGTTCTTAATGGCTAAGGGAGATAGATACCTGCTGTGACACAGGCACAAAACTACACTGTACAGTCAGACTGAGCTGTGTCAGAATCTTGCTCAATGGGAAGATGTAGCTCAGTTTTGTCTGCAGCAGAATCACCTGTTCTGTGGCAGCTAGAACAAATTTTCTGTCTTGAATAGAGACTTATTCTGGAATAGCTATATTATTTTAAATCCTCAGTTTATTTCAGAATGATTACTCCGAATAGGCGAGTCAATCAATTGGCAAAACACCGCCTTCCACAATTTGCAGACAACCTAAAATTTGTGTATGAGGTGTGAACCGCTCCTTTCATTGCCATTAACACCAAAATCTGGTAATGGTTCAGGCCTTTCTCCCTGTGTGTCACCCACAGCTGGTCAGGTTGTCCTACAAAACCACCCAGCCTTAATGCCTCCCCAGGCACCAGCAGACCACACCATTTCCCCACTTTCCCAGTGAGAATTTTGTCACTGCAGACACACCTTTCCCATACAATTCTCCAGCCCAGCTCCATGCAGGACTCTGTGGGGGTGGGAGTTCTGTCAGGGAAAAAAGGGGGAAAAAAAAAAAAAAGGAACATGGAGAAAGCCACAAAGTTTACATTTCTCTTACTTTGCTGGGGGATGCCCTGAGCCAGTTGCTCTGAATTCAGCCACCACCTGTCTTTGGGGTACCTGGGAAGAGAAAACAGCAATGTCAGAATGTCAACAGCCTGTGCTGGCGTCCCCTCAGGCCGCACAGGTTTCCAGGCCAAGAGTATCTGCCACGATACAAATACAGGAAAATACCCTGCCTTCCCCATCAGCCCTTAGACACGGCTCTAAGTCCTTTTGAAGAGAGGCTTGGCAGGGAGGATGTGCTCCCCATCCAGCTCCTAAAGCCGGCGGTGGCCGTGGTGGCCTGCGGAGCCCTGGGGCTGAGGCGCCGCGAGCTCCAGGCAGGCCGGGCACCACGGCAGGGAATGCCACGCTGGGATGGAGGGCGAGCCAAGGGACAGGCTGAAGCTGGGGTGGTGCCCTCGTGGGGAAAGTCAAGGTGAGCAGGGTGTGAGGAATAGCGAGATGCTGGGGAGGCTGGAGATCCTCCGCAAGGCTGACGCTGCAAAAGCTCTCCTCACGGCAAAGCCCGCCAGAAGCGGCCCCTGAGGTAAAGTAAATGAAAACTGGGATTTAGTGCGAAACAGCAAACACTGCGGAAAAGCCCCCTGAGCCCAGCTGTGTTTGCAGATTCAGCTGTGTAAAGTCTCACATTCCCATGGGCTGCAGCTGGGGAAAATTCCCTCTGAGCATCAGCAGCTGCCCCACGGCTGCTGGTGCCTGCAAGGGGGACACCGCGCTGTGATGGGGTGTGGGGCTCTGAGAGGGGCACCAAGGAGAGGTTTGGGGGTGAAGTGGAGCTGCTGAAGGCTGGAGGAGAAAGGTGACATGAAAAGAATGGTGAGAAAGGTGAGAGGAGAACTGATGGAGTGGTTTCAGTGCTGTCCAGGCAGGGCCTTTGTGGGATAACATCAGTGGGACATTCAGAGTCTCCACCTCTGCTGAAATCAGAGCAAAAGCCCTGAGAACAGCCCTGGTAGTGAGGACCCTCCAGAGCAAGTTGATGAGACAGAGCACACCAAAAGGATTATTTTCCCCAGTTTGCAGCCAGAGAAATCATGGCAAGACTAAATGACTGACTCAAGGTCACGAAACAAACCTCTGGCAGAGGGGAGCAGAAGCCCAGCTCAGCTGGTAGCTCATGGAGCTCAGCCATCGCGTGCCTTGGGGCTGCTCAGCTGACAGACTGCCACTGCAAGGCACAGAGCATGTGTGAGCTGCCAGACAGCTGGACAAAACACTCCAGCACTGGATACAGACAGGAGTAAGAGGTCACGGTCTCCTCTGGGTTCTCAAGGGCGTTTGCTTGCCACGTCTGAACACGGAGAAACTTCTATCACATGGGAGGGAGGAATCCCACTCCTTGCTTCTTGCCAGCTGGGAAAGGCTTGAGGAAGAAAATGTTCTGCAGAGAATTTATTGCTTTTGTTTTTCCTGCCCTGCTCTCAGGACCACAGCACTCTGCTTCTCCCAGGATTTTTGTCACTTAATTTCTCCCACCTTTCAGAGAAACATCTCTTCTAACCACTGCTTGTCACATGCTTTCCATGCTGCAGGTGTACGAACTGGATGGCACCCATCACAATAAATCATGGTCTGTGGCAACCTACCGGGAAGTGACCAGGCAGTTCATGAAGGAGCACCCAGACTTTGTTGGAGCCAAGATTATATTTGCAGCGCACAGGTAGAGGCTGAGCGGGGCTGAGAGTAGCTGTGCTGTGTCAGAGGAGGGCAGAGGGTTGGGAGAAGCAATGCTAAGGGCTGGCCTGGAGTGCCAAAGTTGGTTTGCAGTGTCCACATGGCTTGCCAGAGCCAGGCTGTTGACTCCTGAAACATTCCCTGGCGTGTGTAAAAGGCTGGGGGTGAGAACCGCTCTATATAAGTCTGCGTATGTGCAAAGCGAACGGGCTGAGCCAGGAGTGTCCGTGAGCCCTGGGAGCCAGAACGAGCCCAGGCAGGGCTGCCTGTGTGCCTGTCCAAGCTGTGCCTGCTCTCCTCCTGAGCCTGGAAATGCTGCCTTTCCTTGCAGAGAGTGAAGCAGTGCCTGAGCGTGGCAGTGGTCCCCGTGGGACCCCGTGCGCACCGCTCCCCAGCAGCCTCTGTACGGTATGTTCGTGCTGCTGCCTGGGCAGGCGGGCACAGGGCTGCTCTCCAAGTCAGCCAGATGCCATGAAGTCATGTGAGGTGATCCTCAGCAAGCAGAGCAGACCTCTCAGCAGCACTTACTCGCTCTGCTTTGGCACAATGCCCTCTCCGGCTCAGAGCTGGCTTGCCTCTCTGGCCAGCTCCAGTATGGACACAGTCTGCAAAATGCACCGAGAAGTTTTAAGTCTGATAGGGGTGGAAGAAAGCTAAATGTAAAACTCTCTTGAAATGCAGTTACTGCCTCACCTCCCAACAAAACAGCCGGGAGGAAAGAAAAAAAATTAAACATTTTCCCTCCACACTGTTGTGTTCCCTTCCCTGCTTGGCAAATGGGAAAGCCAGTGAGTTAGACAAGCATGCCTCAACTCAAGTGACAGCAGGGTCTAGCCAGGCATTTCCTGGTCATTCATGGGTTTCCTTTCATAATATCAATTTTCTACTGCTGTTCCTCTAGAGACCTGAAGCTGGTTGTCATATTCAGGAGCAACCTGCATTTTGGAAATACCCCTGGGGGCTCCATTTCACAACTCAAACTGCTGAGAAGGCAGGCCCATGGGAGGCAGCTTCTGCAGCGCTTTCTCTCTCTTGCTCTCCAGGATGCTGAATGTTTCCCAGATTAAAGAAGCCATCCTCACTGCCATGGCACTCAGAGCCCGCTTCCCAGACACCCTGGCAGGCTTCGACCTGGTAACTGTATTTCTTCTGGGGCTTCACATTAACCCCTGGTGATACAACCACATATATACCGTGGCATATGTTGTATACCAGAGCCAGAACCTCTGCTGCTCTACTGAAATCAGTGGTAATGAATTGCAAATCCTCCAGCTAAGGATTTTGTTCAGGGTAATTGACAAAATCCCCTGAAAGAATCAGCTCCCTACCCCACAGCATTGTAATTTCAGCACAGCTGGCACCTCATTTATATAGAGCTGTGAGTCCCATCATCTTCCCAAGCGTGCTCAAAAATACCTTTCTGCTTCCCCCCAGGTTGGTGATGAGGACGAAGGTCATTCTTTATGGGACCTGAAGGACGCCCTGACCATCCCATATTCCATGGGGGTCAACTTACCATACTTCTTCCATGCTGGGGAGACTGGTAAGCATGAGAACTCTCAGAGGCAAGACTGGAATCTCACAAAGAGTGAGCAGCAAGCCTGGCTTGCTGTGTCAAAAGGATGTGTGTGCATACATGTGCACAGAACCAGTTTCCCCTGTGCTTCTCCCCATACCAGTTTGGAGCTGTGGCATTACCACATGACCCCTCCCTTACCTGTTCCCTGCCTTTGACTGTAGGTGTCACATTGCTCAGCATCTTTTACCTGGTGTGACAAGGAGCCACGTGCAGGGGTTACTGCTGGTAGCCATTTCCCCCATGGAACACCACTCACTTCCCATCCACAACAGCAGCAGAGTCCCTCAAACATCATTTTACATTTTAAGGCAGCAGAGTCCCCCAACCATCATCTTACATTTCAAGGTGAAATAATATTTGGGCCAGACTCGAGTCTTAACTGAACAGGCTCATCAAAGTAACTGATGTACCCTTCATTCCTGGGGCAATGTGTTACTATTGTTATTATTACTGGCAGTGTATTATTCAATTTGTATTGGTGGGATTTGTCCTAGCCATGAGAGTTGTGTTTAACTTGTGCCTTGTGTGTTGCACGTTGACATCTACAGAAGAGGTGTGATAAAGTGTGATCACCCCAGGCTCCCTTTATAGCCACGGGCAGGAGCAAGTCACGATACATCTCATTCTAACTCACAGGCTACTCCCCAAAAATTGTAATTTCTTTCTGTTAACAATTAATGGAGTCCAGCATAATTAGCTCAGCTGCAAGAGCAATACTGTAAACATCTAAAGCCAGGTGAGATGAGTGGGTATCTCCTTGCTGGGCAGATTCAGATCCCTGTTTCACTGAAAATGCAAGTGGGAACTCTGAGCATGAGCGACTGTCTCACCTCACAATGGGACATCTATTAACAAAACCATCTAGCAGTTTGAGAAGCTTTATTTCCTCACAGCACTGCAGTGACTCTGATCTGTCTCTGCTCAGACTGGCAGGGCACCTCTGTAGACAATAATGTGCTGGATGCATTGCTACTGAATACCAGCAGGATTGGCCATGGACTCGCTCTCATTAAACATCCAATAGCCAAAAGTTTGTCTCTGAAGAGGGATATTCCTGTAGAGGTCTGTCCCATCTCCAACCAGGTATGTTGTTAAAAACTTTTTTCCTGTGGCTTGGTCACTGGAAAGGGGTTTACCATAGCTGGGAGGGTCAGCTGGGGGACACCTACAAGTTTTGATGCACACAGGCTGGCTTAGTTTCCTTTTACACCACCTTATACTGCAATTTGCTACGTGGATGTACACTGTGAATATTTATCAGGCTTGTAATGCCAGTCAGCAAAAGATATAATTTAAATTCCTATCCAGAGGAACTTGGGAAGGCAGTCATCCCTAGTGGAGATGGAGGCCCAGAGCCACAGAGGTGCCTTGAGAGATGTAATTGAAAATACTTCGAAGCCAGGAGGGCCAGAGGCTGAGAAGCTGGGATTGTGACTGGAAGTTCTTGGTTTTGCAGAATTCATGACCAGTGGGAACTCTTTTGCAGCACGTTAGTGTGGTGCCATTGTCCCCTGGGTGCAGCAGAAAGGATACTTTGGGTGGAGATTGACTGGTGTGAGCCTTAAGAGAGAGAGCCCTGATACCAGTTTAGCCTCAAGCTAAGCACCACAGCAAATGTGTAACCAAAAGACTTCTCCTGAACTGCTCACAGTCAAATTGTTCTAGACAAGCACAAGTTATTCACCCCACTGGCCTTGATTAAGGTGATTTATTTAAGAAATTAATCTCCTTGTACAGTCAGTGGGGACAAGTTGGTTCCTCCTGCAGCAGTTCAGAGCAGAAAACATTCTGAGCAGTTCTGCAGCCTGTCCCTCCCTGACCACTACCTGCTGTCACAGGCAGCCCTGACAGGTGTCGGTGGGACCCCGGTGCAGCAATAACCTGGCCTGGTGGTGTCTCCCACTCTTCCCCACCCAGGTCCTGCTGCTGGTGGCTGACTTGAGGAGTCACCCTGCAGCTGATCTCATGGCTGAGGGGCACCCCATTGTGATCAGCCCCGATGATCCCTCCGTCTTTGGGGCAAAGGGAGTCTCCTATGACTTCTACGAGGTATTCATGGCCATCGGAGGGATGAATGCTGACCTGAGGACCCTAAAACAGCTTGCACTCAACTCCATAAAGTAAGTTCATCACCTCTCTCACCTTGTCATAGTAATCATAAAGGAGACTATCAGCTTGCCCTCCTTGCTTGCATTTGGGTTTTGGCCCCAGAGTCTCCTCTGCCACATGAGCTGGGCTGCTGTTAATCCAAAATCTCCTCTGTGTGTATTGTCAACAGCGAGCTCAGAGGCTCCTCTGACGGTGCTCTCAAGTGCCTTTCTCTGACTCCATGCCTCAGTGTATTCCTCCTTTTCCATCCTTTGTGAACTTGCCTCCATCACCTGGTTCTGGGTTTGGCAGAAATTGTATGTCTTCATATCACTTGTCTATTTCTGCCAAAATTTGACTTGCTGTGTTTGCCAGGACTCATCTGGGAAATGCAGGAAAACAATTAGCATTTAGTTTGGGGGTGTTTAACCCCTTTTTCTATTAACTGGACAGTTCTGAATGCCCAAAAATAGTTTGGATATGATGCCCAGGGTCTTCCTGCACATTTCCTCGTCTCCTGCCTGTTTTACACCATGTTACTTTGTGTGGTGCAGGCAAGTCCTGCAAGGGTTAATCTCTTGCTGTCTCCTGCCTTTTCATTTCTGTGCTGCTCTTGAAATAGCTGCCCCCTTGTCTCCTGCCTGATACTGACTCTCCTCCTCCCCACAGATACAGTGCCATGCCACCGGATGAGAAAGCCAAGGCCAAAGAGGTCTGGCAGAAAAAATGGGACCAATTTGTGGCTGACCTCTCTGATAGCTTTCTAAGGGAGCTGTAGAGAGGACAAGGCTCATCTCAGAAGGCATTTGGCAAGCTAGAGCGAGCCAGACTGATTGCTAAGAGGGAGACTTGCTTCTTCCACGTGACCTGAGCAGATGAATGGACGTCAAAGTCTCACCTGGCAGTGGGCGACTCTGCTAAGCCAGGCTTAATGGGCTTAAAGCTAAGAAGGAGCTGCACTATCCTCTGAAACTCATGGGCTGGAGATAAAAGGGAGCAGTGAGCCTTTAGAGCAACTACAAGAAATCGCCCTGCTCAAAAGAGTCAAAACAATTAAAAATTGCCAATGACCAAATCCTGACGTGCTTATTCAGGAAAAACACGCTTTCCAATTAGAGTCAGCAGGAGATTGCCAACACGAGGATCTCTGAATTTTGCCTTATCATTACAAAATGCAGACCTTGTCCGGAAACAGCTAAGACAAACATCCAACCATTTGGGCCACTGACCTTCAAGAGAGCAAGGACTGAAAATGACTCTTGTTATGTTTAACCCTGGGCCTGCCGCCAAAATAGCACGGCTAGGTCGAAGAACCAGTCATAGGTCTGATGTCTGCTATTTCAGGACCTACCATGGCTGGAAACAAGCTGGTGGAACTTGCTCCCAGAACATTTAAGCCTGGTTGCACAGTGATCATAAAGCCAGAAGAGAGGTGCCTCAGTTGCCAACATTTTTTTTTTTTACTACAAAGTATTTTCCTGTCCTCTGGTCAAAAGGAAGACAAAACACATTTCAGGTTAAGTCAAAAACATCCTGTCTTCCCAGACCCAGCTTGATTAAAACTGTCCCCCTGCACAAGGCTGTGTTAACACAGACATTTATAGGAAACACCTTTTGGTTTCAGGGAGTTCCACTGCTTTGTTGCTGAACTCATCGTGCAAATGTGGCTTTATTCAGCCTGTCAGAGAGATTTTCACCTTGGTAAAGAACTGCTGTGGATAGCCACAGGGTTCATTTGGATCTCTGTGGCTCTGTGGTTTCCAGCTCCTTGGCAAAAAAAACCCTACACAAGAAATAGTCTCTTGACAAGCTGATTCGCTGTCTTAACATCATCAGAAATACTAGGAGGAGAACTAGTTGCAGGGAGACTAAAAAAAAAAAAGAAATAAAATCTTAATCTAAGGTTGCTAAATAAATTTAGAAAAATCCTTCAGCACACATATGCCAAGCATGCAGCCAGGATCAAAGAGCATCTTTCCCAGTACAATCATGCTGGTTTGCATCAGTGGAGGGAGAATTGACAAAAGTTCCTACCTAAAGACATCTCCCTCCTCTGAACCACAGACTTGCAAAGGCTGTTGTTTCCTAATCTCTCCAGCCCAATTGGCTCTCTTTATGCTCTCTGTTAATTGTCTCAAGCTGCCTGGCCATAGTGTTTATTTCCACTGACCTTGGTTGGAACACCTTAGCAGGAGGCAAGCACACTTATTACAGAAGTGGATCAAGCTGTGCAGCCTGTGTGCCCTGTGTTAAATTACCCACAGTTCACAGGCTGCAACTTCATCTCAAGAAAACAAAAACCAACCAAACCAAACCCACTACAAAACCCAGTCACAGAACACAAATAAAACCACAACAAACTGCAGGTGTGTGCATTGCAGAAGGCAGCAACACAAACCACAGAAATGGAAAAGCGAAAGCCCAGTCACACAACGTCTTCCTCTGAAGCACCCTGGTGCTTTTTTTGCCTTGATTTGGTCTTGGGAAGGAGTTTTATCCTGGAGGAATAGCCAGAGCAGAGCCACCCTCCCTCCTCCTACATGGGTGGTGCATGCAGAGCTCAGACTTAAGTCCCCAGGGTAGGCTTCGGTCATAGCCAGGTACTAAATGCTGACTTGGGAAGTGCCTTACTTGTAATGAGTTGAGGAGAACCATTGCAAACAAGCAGAATGGCTGCTAACCAGTGACCCAAAGCCCTGTCTCTCTCAGCAACCTGATCTTTCAGCTTTGCTATATGTAGATGGATGAAGACCTTTATTTGCCATGAGTTGATTCTCCCTTAAATAAGCCTCTTTGCTGCCAAGGTGAAGCTAATCATTACAGAGCCACTGTGGGAGGAGCTGAGCTCCTCAACACACAGGTTGACCCGTGCCCCTTTCTTTTCCACCACGGCAGAAAGCTTTCAGCTCTTCCTGCACGTGGTCTCTTGAGGTCCTGAACCACTTTTTGGTCACCTGTAGTCCTCCTCTCTCTTCATTACCTGCAGTAATTGCAGGGCTAGGTCTTCCATTTGCCAAGGGCTTGCTGGAGCCAGTTTACCTGTTGTGTCCAGCTTGTTCTTGCTTTCCTAGGAAAAGCCTGCTGTGCACATGGCCATTTACTTATTTCACAACTGTCCTGTGATGGTTCCAAGTGCCTGGAGCCACCAGTGCCTGATGCTGTCCAGGATTACAGCAGAGTCAGGTCTGATGCAGAAATCACAAGGGTTTAAAATGGCACAGGTCTGATGCAGCCCTCAACAAGGTGAACCTTGACTCTACAGGACTGTGTGTGCATTTGGAACTAGCTTAGTGGCTCCACTTCTGATGGAAGTGTCCACCTTAGGGGTGGGCAGAGGGCAGAAATTCTTCCATCCTGATCATCTCTGTGGGTTTAAATGTGAACCTGAACCACACAGAGGGGCCTGACTCCAAAGGTATGGCCTTCCTTGGATCCCTCCTTGCACAGGGCATTGCCATGTGTGGTGCCTGGGGCTTCCCAAAAGTCCTCTGGCATATTTAGGGCCTTAGTGAGTGTGACAGAGGGAAGGACAGCCTGCCTTACTGCTGGGGATCTGCTCTTCCTTGTGGCACGCTTTAGTTGGGAGAAAGGTACAAATTGAGAAGCCCAGGCTGCATCCTCACCTCTCCAACTCCAGGTGTGCAAAAAAGGAGGAATTTAGGCTGGACCACAGCAGTTATAAAAGATTTCATGCAGCTCCATTCAAGCTTTGGGTAAATTTGGCTGCAGGGCTTCACTGAGACTTGGCTTTTAGCAGCAATATTCCAAGGGTTTTGCTGCCAGTCTATTCCCTTTTCCCCAGTACCTTGGCTCCCTGCTCACATTTATTGGCAAATACACCACATATTATGCTCTCTTGCTTGTCTCTTTCAGAACATAGTCTATAATTAATTTTTTAGACCTGTCTTAATTGTGGGGGTTATTTTTTCTCTTTTTTTTTTCTTTCCTTTTTTTTGGCTCCCTGTTAAAAAGAGCAGGAGATACCTGGATTTGATGGGAGGTTTTAATCTGGAGCGTGCAGTGGAGAGGGATGTCTCACATCACTCAGCCTGGAGTGATCAGGAAGTCTGGAATGCCTTCCCAGCAAAGGGCAGCCTGATGTGTGGAGCTAACACAATGTTAAGTCTGAGTCCCCTGTTCCCACTTCTCCAAGCCCCAGAGGAGCTGGATCCAGCTCAGGGCTGTGTGTGGATCCACAGAGCACCTGACAGGATTAGCTTGTGCTGCCTCTCCTCCCACTACAGCCCTGTACCATCTCAGTGATGGCCTGCTTCAGTCTCCATCCAGACTCAGGAGCAAGGAAGGAGAGTAGAAAATTCATGGAAGTTGCAATTAGGGTTATTTCAAACAGTCATAATGCCTTGGGTAGCAGCACAAGATGGAACCAGAAGGATGTCACCAGCTGTTAAAACCAGCTGGGGCACTGTTCTTTATCTCTCCCACCACCTATCCTCCCTCCAAGGGGAAATCTGCTGTTCATGGGCCATTGAATCCCACTGCAGGACTGATAAAATTCCCTCATCCATTGGGAGATGCTCCACCCAGGGACAGGAACCAAGCATTCCTACCTGGATATAATCTGAGATTTGGAACAGCACAGCAGCCTTTCTGCACTGGATGCCAGAGGAAAACAGGAGCCATCTACAGCCCTGGAGCTGCAGAGGAGAACTGCAGCCTTCTACAAGATCTGTGCTTCAGCAGAACCACATCTGTCACTGCAGGAGAGCTGCAGCCAGCATTTAATGGGACTGCTACCAACAGCCTGCCCAACAGGGTGTCAGGTTGTACCCTGACTCTATCAGTGGGTTGTTTTGTACTACTACATTTTTATTTTAATTTTCCTAGTAAAGAACTGATATTCCCATCTCCATATCTTTGCCTGAGAGCTTCTTGATTTCAAGATTATAATAATTCAGAAGGAGCAAGGAGGGAAAGTTTCACATTTTTTCCATTTCAAGGGAGGTTCCTGCCTTTCTTAGCAGACACCTGTCTTTTCAAACCAAAACACATAGCAATACCTAAAGCCTTATGTCTGTTATCTCCCCCATCTGTCACTCCCTGTGGCCTCTTCAGGTTCAATTTGTTTAAATGGGAGGTGGATGAAGCTTTGTTTGCAGGACAAGTGTTTGCTGCAGAGCATCTTAGCCTGCCTTTGGGGCAATTTAGAGGATGAAATGTTTGCCTCCTGGTCACTCACTGCCAGGAAATGGCTGATCCAGCACTAGTGGTTGCTGTCAAAAACCATGCCAGTAAAAACAGAGGAGCAAAGTAAGTGGCTGGAGACAGAGACAGGCCCAAGCAAGCAGCTGGATCTATCTGTCATGTGAGCCTCCATCGCTGCAGTGGGACTATGCAGGTGCCAGATGCTAAGCAAAGCCCTCTGGCCATAAAACACAGGGCTGCAGATGCATTTTCCACCAGCTCCAAATGATCAGCCTGCTTCATGTTGTCTTCCTATGGAAGTCTCTGAATTAGCCTCTTCCCAGGTAGCAGAAGGACATTTCTTTGGTCAGAAACCTGTAGCTCTAATTGGCTCAGTCCTTAATTCCTTTCTTTCCAGGTTTGCAGCAGTTGCAATCACAGCAGGTCTATCAAGTGTTTTCTGGGCACTGAGGGACAGGCAGGTGAAGGGTCTGGCTCTCAATTCTCCTGGCTTGTCATTTTTATCAGGTTGTGTCCTCCCCCTTGGTCATTACAGGATAAGAAAGGCATTTTACTGTATTTTCTCAACCTTTAGCTTGTCCATCATTCCATGAGCAGGCTGCAGCATGGGAAGAGGAGAGATAAACTGCAGGGGGAGGGCTGGTTCAGGCCATTAGAGCCTCTGCAGCAAGGAAAGAGACGGAAAGTAGGGCTGCTTTCGAGGAGGGGGTGTGAGAAGGTCAGGAAGAGGAGGGGGAGTGATGACAGGGCTGTGAGCCCAGGGAAAACAGAGCTGCAAAGTTTACACAGGGGGAAGGAAGGCTGTGGGCAATGCCTGCTTTGCTTGTCTTTCTAGCTATGAAAGGGAATGGGAGGCACATCCAAGAGCGGTGTGGACAGGGAGAGAAGGAGTCGCCCGTGGGTGGTGTGAGAAGGGCAGACAGACGATCCCCAGGGGAATTTGGGGTACAGCTGTTGCCAGATGTGCTCGTGGAGGAGATCACGAGCTCCAAGACACCCCGAATGGCAAGCTCCAAGCAGAGTCACAGAGAAATTCCCCAACCTTTGAAGGGAAAAGACACAGCCGAGCATTCAGCACAGGGATGATGGGCTAAAGCCTGCCTGCCCGCGGGTGCTGGGAGCCCTGGGGCTCAGCAGTCACTGCAGGCTCCTGTGCCCGGCCGCTGGCAAAGTCCCCCCGTTTCGGTATAAAAATAAGCGCTCCAGCCTGTCGGACAGCCTTCCTTGGAAAAACAAACACGGCAGCGCTGGCAGCCCGCAGGAATAAAGCTCAAGCACACTTTG